AGAGCAATAGGCTATGTATAATGTAAAAGTAAGGACTATTTGGAGAGACAAAGGAGAACAGAACAAGGCAGTGGGGGAGGACAGTATAGGCCAATTAATGTTTACATAACGACAATGTGCTCTGAAATGCACATGTGAAAATGTCACAATAAAAGCCTTTATTTTATATACTAACTAAAAACGATCAATAAGAAGAAGGAAGAGGAGGCTGTGGCAGAGGAGGAGGAAGTGGTGAAATAAGAATGGTTCTAAGTCAGACATAATGATGGCACACTCTTTAGGCTGAGGGAGGTGACTAAAAAGGCCAACCTGGACTACACAGCTACACCCTGAGTCAAACTGGAGATGGAGCCAAGTAACAAAGGAAGTATGAGGGAAATGTGGTTGGGGAGTTTGGGGAGAGATACAACAAAATAAAATTTTGTTTGAAAAATTCCTAAGTCTCTAAAATAATAAAAATAAACATAAAACACAAAAAAAAGATAAAAAATAATACTCCAACCAACAAAAAACCGATTTAAAAACACAAATTAATAAAAGAATTAAAGTTCTGAAGTCAGTGCAAACTGGGCTGTGCTACAAAAGTCAAGGAGTCAGGTCTTATTACCGAAGACCTAAAACAAATAAAAATGTGGCATATTTAGTGACCTAGAAAGTTCCAAGCATGTCAGAAGTAGGACTTCCATCTTTCTCTAGAGAACAAAATCCACAGAGGAAGCTCAGAGCTAGGAGAGCAAAAAGACAAGACAAGCCAGAAGGAAAGCAAAATGCAGACAGGGGACAGAAAGGTTCCACAGGCGACCTGGGTTCCCAAGGATAAGAACAACAGAGACAAAATGGAATAGCCCCCGAGGGTCTTTGCAGTTTTCTGCTCACAAACGAGCCACATTGCCTGATTCCTGATGTGCATACAATGAAAACCATTCTCCAACCATCCGAGCAATCCCCATATAGAGTCAAATGAAAGCCCTTGGGTGGAAGCAGGTAGATCCTGGGGTCCCACTCACCATGAAAGGCCTTCTACATCTTTGGAGAACCTGAAAGCAACTTTACAGTGGCTTCAGGTCCACAGCTACAACACAGAAGACCATGTCTGTAACCTTCATACTTGCACATGCCTTAGCCACAGAACAGCCCAAAGAGATGGACAAAGTTGAGTTTTCTCTCAGAAATAAAAAGAGACTATGTGAAGGGGAAAGAAGCAACGTCCATCTGGCTGCCTGAACCTCAGTCAGTGAGCACTCATGTGTTGTGGAACAAAGACTAAAGATCAGCCAGTAATGGTGGGGCATCCCTGTAACCCCAGCACTTAGGTGGCTGAAGCAGAAGGTTGTAAACCTGAGCAACACACTGAGAGGCTGCCTGAAAAAATAAGAGCGATAAAAAGAAGAACATTCAAATTTGAGAACCACTGTCGCCACATGCCGCCACTCCCATAAGGAGGCAAACAGTGCCTGCTTTTTCTCTGCCATGTTTCTTTAGGCTCTTGATTTGTCCCCAGGTCAGCCACATGGTTTGCTCATGAGGCTGTGCCCATGTCCTGAGAGGCACGTGTCTCACTGTACTTATTTGCACTGTTTCTTCAGCACTATGGGCACTAGCAGGGGAGTGCTCGGCCGCAGCTCCACAAAGAAAGCCATGAGAAGCAGCCATGGAGAAGAGGCAGAAGCAGAAAAAACCAAGACCTCCACAGCCCCACCCACTGCTAGAAACTTGCTAGAAGATTTTAAGTTCACAACACACTGGGTTGAAGAAAGAAAAGGGCAATTTAATAACATAGAGGGGGGATTCTGCTTAAATATTAAGCAGAATTGTTTCTTTTCTTTTCTCTGTATCTTAAAGTGGGGTTATCAAAAAGTCTCACCCCTTCTTATGTTACCTTGCTAGAAAGCAAGCAATTTCTAAGTGCAGATGGTTTCAAAGTATTCAAAGTGCTTCATTATAATTAGCCCAGCAAAGGCACATGGCCTTGAATGAAGAGGAAAACAAACAAGAAAGTAGATAACTACTAAGAATACAGTGTGGGGTGCCAGCTTGCATGACCACAGTATGGCTCCTAATGATGAGCTGGCACACACACTTAACCTTGAAGTTAAGATGACTTCAGAGAATGGGAGATGAGGAGGTGGTGACCATGATAGGCACACAGGCTATTCGGATGTAAGACCTTTATCTGATCACCCCAGGCTAACCCCTCAATGGTTGCCCCACCTTCCGGACACAGACAGTGTCAAGCAGCCAGCTGGTTTCTACAGCAGATGGATTCTGAGGACAGTATTCTGCTGTGATGTTATAGTTTACCTGTCCACACAGAAAACAAAATACCACGGCCATATGACCAGCGAAGACAGTGAAATAAAACAGCATACATGCATGATAAAGTTGGCACTCACTTTGCTGACCTGATTCTTAAAGTCATGAATTCTTTCAGAAAAGTAACTAAATACCTGGATTAGAAATTCTACACTAAAATTCTGTTCCCAGTGAGGTCATCAGGTCCATAAAATGCACAGCTTCCAAGCAGTTCTAGCTAGAAACAACATCCAATGGGGATGCTGACTACTAGGCACAGTGAAGGAAGAAAAATTGGCCCTTGCTTTGGCTTTAGCATGAGGTAGCCATTATTCTCCAAAAGGCTGAGTTTCTTTGCCTTTGGTTCTGCAGATTCTGATACTGTTTTCCACAGTGAAGAACAGCTCACAAGATACTGAAAGCCTTTTAAAAGCTATTACAATATATCTTATGTCTGTGGGTGAAAACACTGTTTCTCATCTGCTCAGATTCACCCAAGGACTCAACTTCCCTCATAGTGAAAAGAAAGGCTGCATTTCTGAGGGCCTCTCAGATCTATATAGCTGCCACTCCCCTGTATCTCAACACTGTCCCCACGATCTCACCTTCCATATTTGTGCTACTCCCCAGTCTCCCAACAAACACTGTCTTTGTGACCTACAACTGGGAGCCTTATACCCTCCCTCAGTGTTCCATGAACTCTAAGCATCCTCTGCCCTGTGGCCTACGCAGTGTTTGCTCCTTGCACTTGAAATGTCTCCCTAAAAGCCACATGGCTCACCTCTTCCGGTTCTTTCCAGGAGGACACACAATCTCTGGCTCTCGTCATCTCCTTGTTTGTTTTTTGTAGCACTTAGCACCATCAGCATCCCATTGAATTTACCAGTGTTTATGTTTCTCATTTCCCATCTCTCTGCATTAGAATGCCTGTTTTACCAGCAAACCCTGAGGCAACCAGAAAAGGCCGGGTGCAAGCTCATGATCATTACTTGACGGTGTGAGCAGCAGCACTGTCAGATTCCAGGTTCTCCACCACTTCTCATGTCACGAAGAAAGTCTGAGATTGCTGACACATTTTAACTACCCTCTACCACCTGTTAGCCTTACCTTTTCCCTTATGTCTTTATTTAAAGTATAATTCACCCACAACAAAATCTACTCACTTGAGGTAGAAAAGTCAGCATTTCTTTTTAACTTATGAAACTGCATGATTATTACCACAAACCTCCTTAGCATGAAGGGAGGGGTGTGGGCTGAGCATCTTCTCTCTATAAGGGTGCTGACAAATGAATGTGAGTACTGCTCTGTCTTCACAGAATATGAAACTACTGTGGTGGTTTCAATAGGCATGGCCCCACAGACTCACGTGTTTGAATGCTTGGCCATAGGGAGTGGCACTATTAGGAGGTATGGCCTTGCTAGAGCAGGTGTGACATTGCTGGAAGAAGTATGTCACTGTGGATGGAGGTGGGTTTTGAGGTCATATATCCTCAAGCTATACCCAGTCTGACACACAGTCCCCTTCTGTTGCCTGTGGATTAAGATGTTGAACTCTTGACTCCTCCAACACTATTGTCTGCCTGCATGATGCCATGCTTGATGCCATGATGGCAAAAGATTAAACCTCTCACCCTGTAAGCCAGCCCCAAATTAAATGTTTTCTTTTATAAGAGTTGCTGTGGTCATGTTGTCTCTTCACAGCAATAAAGCCCTAAGACATTTACTTTACATTTATATTTGGCTAACTTAAGCAGTAGTACAAAGTTTCTTTTTTAAAAAACTCATTTACTTACATAAAATGAAAGTTGAAAACAGGTTAATAATATATACAGGAGAAATTGAGAGCATTAACAAGATAGTAAGCTTAGGCTGTGCACTGACCTTAGAATGTAGGCCCAGTATGCTCACAGATTGCAGAAAAGCAGCTAGCCTCATAAATTTAAGGCAAAGCATTGTCACTTACTGCTAGGTGGGTGACCATACTTCCCAAGTCCTGTCTTCAAGGAAGCCACTGACTCTTTGCAGAGCTGTGGTCACTCTGCAAGGATGTTTGTGTTGGGAAGAACCGTGAACGTAAAGGCAGTGTGTTCATGCAGAAGTTAGGGCAGAGCTACTCACAGACTTGGAAGACTTCCCAGCCACTAGAAAAGGCAGTTCCCCTGCTTCAAGGTTCTGCTCATATAATGTACCCCTTCTGGTGCCCTGCTATCTGCCAATTATGTATTTCCTGCAGAAACCAGAAACCGTCTCAAAGAAAGCAATAGTCTGAATGTTTGTGCTCTTCACACCCAAATTCTGATGGTGAACTCCTAACAATCAGGTGACAGATCGCTTTGGGAGGTAATGGATCCCAAAGACAGAGATCTTATGAACAGAGTCATATGTTTACATATGCACATGTAAAGGAGGGACTTGTTCATCCCTTCTACCATGCAGAGATACAATAAGAAAGCGCCATCTATAAATCCAGAAACATGTCCTCACTGGACACCTGTTCTGCCAGTGCCTTTCTCTTGGGCTTCCCAGCCCACCAGACTAAGAGGAACTGTGTGGGATGCCATATTTTCTTAGCACAAACAACCAGGATTCTGGCTACTGTGACTGCTGGTATAACCTGCCCTCCCTGACTCGAATCCTCTGTGTTGGATCTGCATGAAACTGCAAGCAGGGGTGAGTATCAGAACCAGCAACGTCTTGACCATCCTCACCTCGTTGTGGATTTCTTCTCCTTGTTTCAAAACTGCAGGTTCAAAGGACTTCAAGGAGACATCGCCATTGTCTGAGTCATTGAGGACATTCTGCAGCGCCAACTGGCAGCGTTGTAAAATATAATCCAAGGTGCCTGTTGAGCACTGTCAAGACAGAACCACAAGTGAGACTGTGAGCAAGCTCCAAGCTCAGCATGCACCCTTGCTGCTAACCTCTGCTCTATGAGCTTGTCTGCCATCCTCACAGCTCATGCTCCCCAAGTGAGAATTACAGTAGTGGCCTGCTCCCTTGATTCTGTGTGGTCAGCCATGCCTCACTAGGTCACACAGGCTGCTGGCTGCCCTCATTATATGGCCCTCCTCTCTCTAAGTAAACAACAAGTGCCCTGAGGTGTGTTATATACATGAGGTGTATGTACATACATACATGTATGTTCGTATGTGTAGTCTACATACACTGCTGTATCTTAAACTGACTCTTAAATGTAGAAGAAATAGAATAAACAATTACTCAATGAATAACCAGTCAGCAAGGATGTCAAAGACAGTGATTTTTGTCTTCTGTCATCAACGTAGCAAGAACGGGGAATGGTAGCTGGACTGGAGAACCTGGTGCAAAGCACACAAACTAGAGCAGCAATTTTGTGTGTGTGTGTGCGTGTGTGTGTGTGTGTGTGTGTGTGTGTGTGTGTGTCTTCCCTTTTCTACATTCAGGAGGCAGCTGCAGTCCTTCCTAGAACAGGTTCTTCAATAATGAAGAGTATGGGATGTTGGCTGTGAAGCATATTCAAGGCAAAGCTGAGGCTTCAGTATCAGGGGGACAGAAACAGCTAGCTCATCCAACTCTAGGCCTGTGGAAATACCAGAGATCAAAAGAACACGCTCCTTTGAAGGATCCTATGTTGAAAAAGCCAAGGATACTGGTGGAATATGGCTTCACCTATTTTGATAATGAAATGATCTCCTAGGATGATAAGACTGTGTGTGTGTGTGTGTGTGTGTGTGTGTGTGTGTGTGTGTGTGTGTATGTGTTAGGTAGGTAGGTAGGTAAGTAAGTTGATAGGTAGATAGATCTCCTTTAGATGTCTTTGAAAAACGTATCCTTCAAATATTTTCACTTTAATATTTATAATTTAAATGCAAGCCCATAGAGAAAAAACCTTGCAAGCAAATCCTGTGGTCTAGAAACTATTATCGTCTTTCTACACAACATGATATGGATGAGCTGGGAACACTAAGTTTCTGTGTCTTGACTAATATGTATTTTAATATGGTGATCCGGGGGCACAGAGCACATGAGGGTACACAGCACTGAGCACGAAGGGTAAACCCCATTCACAAAGCACCCCAGTCCTGCTTCTAAGTGGAATCGCCAACAAAGGCATCTCACTTTCCCTTCTGCTTCCTCAGTGCAGAGCACCCTGCCTGGGAGGTAAGCACGCCCATTTCTGCATCCTAGAACTGGACAACCTATACTCTCCATCCATGGAGAGCCAGTTCATTGAGCCAAGCCTAACCCGGACTTTACTGAAGGTCATTTAAAAAAAAAAAAAAAAAAAAAAAGAAGTGCAGGACTTTGTCTTTCTGACTTTATATTAAATTGTACAAAGAACTTATAAGTGGGCCTAAAGTTTTTGAGATCTTATTCCTTTTTTGGTCATTATCAAAATATCATTCACATCATGAAATTCAACTATTCGAAGCAACAATTCACCATTTTTGAGTATATTTAAAGTTGTGCCACCACTACTATAATTAACTTAGAATAATTCTGCTACTCCAAATGAAGCCCTTGCCCTTTACTGTCATGTCCACCAGCACTAACATGTTTCCTGCTCTAAGGGGATGACGCTGAAGTCACACACACACACACACACACACACACACACACACACACACACACACACAC